TAGCTACTATAATTACACTTAGTATTTCTTTAAGAGTATTAAAGAAAGACTTCTATTAAATTTATTATATTTTATAGTAGGCTCTAAGTATTTAGAGTTATATCTTAATTAAAACTATATAGAAGTACTTACTAAATTCTAGTCTCTAACTTTATATATGCTAAAAGTATATTAAATAAAGTTTAGTCTAATCTAAAATTTAATCTTTTATTATTATAATAACTAGCTTAATATTAGTAGATTAGCGTATCTATCTATATCTATAGATAGAGTAAAAGCTCTAAGGTTAATAAATTTAGATTATAGCTCTTAAAGAAAGATTAAAGTAAAACTTTATAAGTAATAATAGACTAAAATTATTTACTTTATTAAGAAAGTTATTATAATCTACTAACTATCTATAGACTCTATTATAATACCTTGTCTAGTTTACCTTTTGAAAATTTAAGTTCTACTATTATATAGATATTAATACTATAAACTAAAATATATAAAAGATATACTACTCTATACTTTCTTAAAGTCTTTAATTTAAGATTAAATAAAATTTCTATCTAATCTAATTATATTACTATTTAAAAAAAAATATTAAGTTATTTTTAAAATTAAATCTAGAAACATAACTTATAAAGACTCTAATCTTCTTCTTATTTATTTATTTAAATACACTACTTGCTTATAAATAATTTTTCTATTATAAAGAACTCTTAGCTCTTCTACTATAATAGAAGTCTCTAGCTATAAGTTTATAACTTTGTCTTTACATAATAATATATTTAATATACTCTAAAATTCTAAAGTAATATAACTAAAAGAATAAAGATCTAGAAAACTTATAAAAATTAAGATAACTTTATAATATAAATATATAAAATATACTATTTCTTTTAAAATCTTAATAGTAAGAAGTAAGAGTAGATATATACCTAAGATAAAATACTTAAGACTATCTTCTTTATTCTCTATAAATCTAAGATTACTTACGCTTATTTTATAACTTTATATTACTATTAAATTTAGAAATTACTTTTTTATATTTTATAATATAAAAATATTTTATCTAAAGCTATAAATAGATTTCTCTTCTCTAAAAGCTTTGTAATCTAGTAGATTATTAGTCTAATTTTTAAATTATTAGAAAGACTAAGTAAAGTAGATTAAGAAAGGTTTAGTTTTAGTAATCTAATTTAAAATTTTATATATATATCTTAATATAGTAATAATTATAAAACTCTTTATTAGATTTTTATAACGTAATAGAAGATTTTAGAAAGGTAATTCTATCTATATATTTAAAAGTATAACTTTTTTTTCTAAATTTATATCTAAATGTTTAAAATATAAATATATTATAGCTAAGTATCTAAGTCTTTCTTTAAAAATCTATATTTATTTATAGAAGTTTTTATTTTTAAATTCTTTATATATAGATCTATCTCTACTTTAATCTAGTAGAAATATATCTAGCTTACAGAACTTATTAATTACTAAGTAAATAAGATTTAAAACGTTTAACTTCTTAAAGAACTTTATATAAAGAATAAGTTAATATAATAGATATAGATTAAAAGATATAAATAGAAGGTATAGAGATATATATTACTTTATTACTAATATTATACGTCTAATATTTAATAAAAACATAAGAATCTAGAATCTATTAAGTATTATTTAGATTTTAAAATTTTCTTTTTAGTAATATAAGTAAAATTAAGAAGATATATCTTATAGTTCTATATTTAGCTTAAAATCTATCTAATATTTAGAAATTATTATTTTTATTAAGATAAATACAAAAGCTAGAAGGTATTATTAGAAAGATATTTAAGTTTAGTATAGCTCTCTACTAGTATTAAAAAGGCTATAAAATAAGAGTTAATATAATATATTTTTAGAGTAGAGAAGCTTAAGCTAAGCTTTATAGCTTATTCTTATTTAAGAATTACCTAGTAAAGTAGCTCTTCTTATAGTAATTAAATAATAATAATACTCTACGTATAATATTAGAACTTAAAATAAATAGCTATAGCTTACTATTATAATAAAGTAAATACTTATTATAATTCTAAAATACTATAAATTCTTTTATAAGAATATTTACTTATATAGCTTTTTTCTTTCTCTTTTTCTATTTATTCTTCTTTTTCTATTAACTAATACTTCTCTATTAGACTTAGTCTTTAACTTAAACTCTTTATAAGATTCTTTTTAAAGACTAATACTAAGAATACTTAGATTCTTTATATTCTAAGTAAGAACTTAAAACGCTAGTAGACTTTTATAGTAAAGCCTATATTAGTTAGTAATAACTTTAGTATAAATAAAATACTTAAGTACTTTCTAAGTAATAAATTATTTCTATAGTAGCTTAAAAATATCTATAAAAGACTTCTAAAACTACGTACCTCTATAGAGATAGTTCTAAACTTCTATCTTTAACCTTTCTTTTTTCTTTAAAATAGAAATTTAGATTTAGTAAGTTAAAAACTAAAAACAAAAATAAGTTTTAATCTTAGAAGCTATTATTAGAATAAAACTTATAATTATTAACCTCTTAAGTTTATAATTTTCTACTTAAATAACTTTATCTATAGTAATTTTATATAGTAAGTTAAGAATACTATTAATTAAAAAAGATTTTAAGATTTTTTAATACTTAATTATATAATAAGATTTTATTCTAATATTAGTATAGATTAAAAGAATATAGCATTTATTATATTACTATACACTTAATAAATATATATTACTATTAATATAGAGTTTAAGTACTATTTATTTAGATTAAATCTATTTCTAATACTTACTTCTAATATATTATAAGAGAAGACTTTTATTAGTTATACTAAACTAAAGAGTCTATCTAGTATAGGTAAGCTCTACTAATTAAAGGTAGTTTAAACTTTATATTTTATTAAATTTTAAGTATAAGCTTCTTATTATTTATTTTACTATAATCTAGCTTCTAATTAAAGTAAAGTACTTAGGTTTTTTTTTCTTATAGTATACTTTCTAAGTTAAAAAATATAAACAAGATTAACTATTTTTTTTTTCTATATAAAATTAAATTAAGATATATATTCTTTTTAAGTATTAAGTCTAACTAATTTACTATTAAAAATTATTTTATTTTACTACTAAATCTTTATAACTATAGATTTTATACTAAGAAATTAATTTATTAGTAAGCTAATAATTCTATAGTAAGCTAGTTAAAAAAAAAAAAAAGTCTATTACTAGTATAAAAAACAACGTATTTTTAAAAAAGTTAAAATTCTATATTTAAAGGTATAGGCGTTAGGTAGACTAAAGCTTAAATTTCTAGTACTTCTACTTTTAGTATAGTAGTAAAAGCTTTTAGAATTTAGAGTTATAAGATAACTATTTTATAAATACTAATATTTATCTATAGTAGAGAAAATTATAATATAATTATATATTCTTAATATCTTATAACTAATAAAGCTTTAGATTATAAAGTAATAAAATACTAAGATTTTTAGTAAGTAAAATTATACTTCTACTATATATATACTTTTTATTCTCTATCTCTATTTCTATTTTTATTTTATAGTTTATAGTAAATTAGAGATCTAAAATCTTATTAAAGTAACTTGTAGCTTAAATCTAACTCTAAAGGTATACTAAATCTACTCTTAACTATATTCTTTATATCTTATACTTTATTATAAGTTCTTCTAGCGTTAGTAAGTCTAAAGATAATCTTATTACTAGTTATATTAGTTTACTACTTTACTAAAGCTTAATTAAGCCTTTTAATTAATACTATATTAATTACTTTTCTCTTAAACGCGTTACTATTACTTAATAAGTTCTTTTAAAGTTATTATTCTAAAAGCTATTATAGAAGCTATTATAAGTACTTTAAAGAGCTACTTTACTAGTACTTTAAAGCTATATACTAAGCTTATTAATATCTTTATTATACTTATCTTTATTATACTTATCTTTATTATACTTATCTTTATTATATTTATTTTTTTTACTTTTCTTTTAATTATTCTTATTATATATATAACTAGCGTTAAATTCTTTATTATTTTCTTTTCTAGTCTTACTTTTAAAAAGCTTATTAATTAAATATATAAGCTTTTTAGTAGATATAGTTTACTTTTAAATACTAAAAAAAGTATTTTTTTTATAATTTTACTTAAATATACTTAATTACTTATACTATCTATAGTTATAACTAAATATATAAAGTAAAATTAGTATTAAGTTTATAGCTTTCTTTAGCTTTTAAAAATGTTATACTTTAGTAAAGAAACACTTTAGCTAGAATACTTTATTAAAGTAATAAAAGCTAAAATAATAAGAATATAGTATTTATAGCTTATTTTATATAGTAAGATACTATTTATTAAATAGTAGCTATAATAAAGTACTATTACTTCTATTAAAACCTAAAGTAATACTTATTATATTATAGTTATTAACTAGTTAGCTTATAGTATAAACTATAAAGTCTATTATAGTATTTCTATTACTACTATATTATATAGTTCTTAAATACTACTTAAGCTTAAAAGTTATATAAATAAGTATATAGTTTTAGTTAAAAGCTTTAGTACTAATAGTAATATATACTAAATATATTAAAATCTTAAAATCTTTTACTAGTTTTAGAATAACATTAAAGCTAGATATTTTTAAATATTTTTTTACTAAACAAAGTCTATAAAATTAGATATAAGGTACTACTAATAAATTAATAAAACTACTTTTAGCTACTATCTCTTTTTAATAAATAGATACTACTTTACTAAAATAAGCTTTATATAGTTATTAAATTAAAACTTATCTTAGTTATAAAAATATAATATTAACTTTTTAGTAGCCTACTATAAGAGTTTCTTACTTTCTTTTAAAATATTATCTAGCTCCTTCGCATTATACTCTACTTAATCTCTCTCTTCTTCTGCTTTAAAATCTGTCTACGTTGTATAGTAGAACAGGTACGAGCCGTCGATCGTAACACTCTAGCTCGAGTCGTTGCCGCCCGGCAGGTACTTTTCCTCCCACTCGTATAGGGTTATCGCTTTAACAAACTGTTCGCTCGGTGCAGGCAACACTGCAGAAATATCCTTGACCTTTTCCAGCCATGCCACAACTGAGTCCGACATGGTGAAACCCGGAGCCAAAACCACGCTATCACGGCGATACAACGCCTCATCGTCTGCTTCGTTGCCCTCATCCTCCTCAAAATCACCATTCACCTCTTCTCCATCCTTACCCTTTGCGTCGTAGTCATCGTCGTCTTCTTCGGTCGAAGCAATAGGAGACACGAGCTCTTCCTCGACATCAACCTCAACAACATCCCAAACCCTATCATCATCTCTCGTCCACGCCTCAGTCCCATTCAACGGACTGAACGGCGTTTCTCCATATTCTTTCATGCAATCGATCGTAGCCAGCTTAATCGAAAGCTTCACGCCAGGTTCACTGTGTACGGGTGGCACGCTTGGTATCTCGCCACTGGGCCAGAGCTTCGGTAACGCTGCGACGAAGGTCTGCCAGGCTCGTTGTTTCCCGTTCGCAACCCACTTCTGGCGGTAGTGGGCGAGGGTTCGGGAAAGGCCGTCGCAGTAGATGTGGTGCTCGACTAGTGCGATGGTCTCGGTGATGTTTGTTGGATTCGAGAATGGTGGAGAGGAAGGGAGGTCGACGTATGTTTTGCAGACGCGCATCAACTGCATCTTAGTAGGCCGACCAACCCTCGATCCTTCCCCTGCAGTCTGCTTCTCCTCCGAGCGCATAGCTTCCTTGTCCGTCCACGCTTGAGCATTCCACGCCGGATTCACCACCGTAGGATCCCCCCACTCTCCCTCCCTTGCCCAGAAGTAATAGTGTGGTACATCGCACCCGGGAAACCTAACAAAGAACAAGTTTTCCAAACACTTCTTGCCCACACCATCTTGAACCGGCTCACCATACTCCAAATAAGCAGGCACATAGCACATAGCCAACGGCCGATACTGCGACGCTTCATACACTTCCGCCGTCATCTTCGCCTTATTCCTCTGCCGTTGCGCGTGGCGTGCAGCGCGATCACTAGGATCGCCATTACCCTTTCCTTTGACGCGCAGCAACTTTCTGTTTTCGAGATACCACTTGTTGTATGTATCGGCTAGGACTTTCGTTTCGTTCCTGGAGCCGAGGTGGAAGTACATGTGTCCATTGCAGCCCTGAATGAGCGTGCGTTGAGCCCAATCCGTACCTCTTTCGACAACGGCTTTGCGGAGCGGGCCAAGGAGATGACCGTTGCGTGCTGCGGATCGGACCAAGGGGTTGAGGATGGGTACGAAGTCTGGGGTGACGCTTGGTGGGTACTTGGCTCCAGGTAAGATGAGCTTTTGCTTGCTATACATCGTTGTAATCTTCAGAGGTGCATAAGGTACAGGACAGGGCAAGGGCAGCGGACACCATCTTTTGTGATCCCAACCTCCAGGTTTGGCTGATGGCATGGTCTGGTTGGGCCACTCGAAAAGGCGGAGTCTGCATCCAGGCTCGTAGATCTGGTCTACAGATGCAGCACTTGACTCTGAGGAACTGCTATCCCACGATTCCTCACTGAGCGCCTCACCGAATCTCTCGCGGTTGTACTCATCCCCTGCGTTTTCACCGTCTTCACTGTCGGGATCACTCACAGTGTCGTCACTGACGCTTTCGTCGCGCTCTCTCCTCTCCTCTTTCTCTCTTCTTTTCTTTTGCTTAGCAATCAGCTGTGCCTTTTTCTCCGCAGCCTTTCTCTCCTCTTCCTTCTTTGCGTCCTCCAGCTTCCGTTGCCGTGCAATACGGGCGTCCTGTTCAGCACGCTTTCTGTTCTCGTCGTCGTGCTTCAGGGCCCAAGCCATCTCTACCTTCTTCATATCCTTGCGGTAGATACTGCGCTCTTTTGCTGTTTCGACTAGCTCTTTGTAGTTCAAGCTGTCGTAGACGGAGTCAGTCTTGTTCTCATCGCGTACTTTGTGCGTACCGCCGCGTCTGTGTGATGAGCCTTGGTGAGTCTCATACGGCTCTGCAGAGCCGTGGTACGGTCGCGGGTTACGCTTCTTGGCTTTGCCTTTCGGCATCGTGGTGGCGGTTGGGTAGTGGTCAGTGAGATGTTTGCAAACGTGTAAATGCTAGTATTCCAGAAAACGAGCATTCGTTACTAGAAGCGCATACAGTGTGAGATGAATGCGGAAGTGATGCTCGAGACATTGCTTCGAATACAACTTCAAGAGATCACGTGTATTGGCCACACAAGTGTCTTTAACGAGTCACGGGTCAAAGACATGCGAGAGGTCTGCTTTGTGAACATGACTTGGCTTTGTCTCTGTAAGCATCACCAAGCGTGGTGTCGAGTCGTTCAAACTGTGTCACAATGCGCTGCACAGCTCGATTATACATTCGAAACAATTCATTCGTAGGGTCTAGGGTATCTCACTACGGTACGTTAACTTACATGCATTCAAGTTGATGGGAAGATGCTTACAGTTCCGACTTCTCGCCATCCAGCTTCCGCTTCTCTGCCTTGAAGTCGAAAAAGCCCTCTAGCTCCATCCACTCTGCAGTGAAGGCCATGACCAGCTTCGTCCAGTCCTCGACTGTATCCATGTCCAAGTGCTCTCCGTCGTCTTCAATCGTGTGCCATACATGCGGGAAGGGCGTAGGGATCATGTGTAAGATCTCAACGCCGCGCGCCATGAACGGAACGTGATCGTCCTGTACGAAGCCGCCCATGAACTGATCATTTCCTTTGTTCGCATCGGGCAGGAATGGACGTTCGTCGCGAGGCTTCTTGTTCTCGCGCTTTGCCATCTTCGACTCGTGGTTTGGGGACGACTTCATTAAGCCTAGCTTGCGCAGGCGTGCCTCGGCAGTCGCCATGTGCTTATATGCCCAATGCGTCGTCTTGAAGTATGAGGGGACTTTTGGACCCTTGGAGCCCAGAAGGTCAAGTAGTAGGAACAGATCGATCGAATCGAGCGGGGTGCGGTATATCGACGAAGCGACATGGAACGTCGACTCCCAGTCTTCAGCGAGAGCTCTATAGATGTGTCAGCACTTGATGTCGAAGGAGGAGAAAGGTTCATACCGCGCGCCATAGAGACTGTCGCTGTCGGTCCAGCTCTTGAACGCCTCCTCGCCGTCCAGCAACAGTATCTGCACGCCCTTGTGCTCCACGTCGAAGTCGTCGGGGTCGGCCGCCGCCCATTTCTTCGTCAGCGCCGCATCGATGCTGCGCGCTATATGCAGGATCATGGCGCATGGGGCCGCGCTGTCGGTCGCCCCAATGAAGCCAGTCGGCGTGTACTTGCTGTCGTAGTGGGCCACGAGAGCCAACCTCGAGACGTCGCCCTCAGAGCTACCCGGCGGATCGCGTGTCGCAATGATGTTCACGAAAGGGACCTCCTTGCCCTTGCTCACGGGCGTCGTCGACGTCGAGTTGTGCATTTCCAGCCTCCATTCCGGCAATTGCGACTTGAAGAAGTCTAGGAAATGTTGGCGTACGGCGACATTGCCTTCGGTTCCAGAGACTCTGGGAACCAGAATGGGCGCCAGCAAAGAGCCTTTCTTTATGTCGAAGTCATCGCCCGGTCCCGGCAGGTGCTTGAGTGTATGGTCGCTGAGGCCCTGGTAGGCGTATCCGAGGGACAAGAAGGAAACGAGCGACAGCAGCGCGAATGCGAACAACATGCTCGCGACTTGTCACATGAAGAACTTCGACAAAGTTAAAACACTGCACAAGATAGCTCACGACCGAGAAAGGAGCATGACGGCGCCGGTCGTTGAGTGGGCCGCTTGCAGCTGGTCGAGGGAACCGTGGCATCTCTCCGCACACGAGCTTGACCCGCTTCGGCTAGAGTTGCCGCGGCAAGCCGATCATCGCACGTGACACCGTGACATCTCAACAAGCACCATCGCAGCCCATCATCCACGTTTCTACACGTCCGTACGGCTTCATTGCTGAGTAAGCCTCCTGCTACGTCAGACCACCAGCGGCCAAACCTTGCCGTCGCGCAGTGACGCGATCCAGCGCATCGAGGCCCGACGAAGCCCACACACGTGTGCAATTTTCTTCACAGCCGTTGACTGCAGAAGGCATGCAGCCACGGCTTCTCGCCTTTGCGGCCGCTTTTCGAAGCACTGCGCCCACGCTTAGAGGCACACGACCAGTCGCTCAATCTCGCCTCAATGGATACATCTGCCGGAGTTGCCAACGAAAATTCACCACAATACGCAGAGATCCCACATTGCCCTTACAACGAGGGAAAAAGCCCAAGTCGGCACCCGAACCAATGGGAAAAGAGAATGAGAAGAGTATGTAACAGCTCTGTCGTAGTCGGTCGACAAACAGGGAGCAACCATTGTTAACGAAGATGTCCAGTGTATGCGTCAAGACTACTGATCTACGATGCGGGCGACGCACGAACGACATGGATATCCTTTTGGAAAGCAATGGCCTTGTTGCAATTCGGCACAACTCTCGTCTTTGGTGTGCCTCCATTGTGGAACAATGAGAATCAGCCTGATGAGAGAGTGAGGAAGATGCAGGCGATGACTGGTAAGTGAACTTTGTTAACGCCTGGTGAACTGTCACGACCCGAATTTCTTCATCTACACCATTTTCCTTGCCAAATGCACCGAACCAATTCCCGTCTCGCGTCACATCAATTGGCTGTGGATCTGGCCTCATCATACGTGGGCATCTATCTTCTACGTCCCTGATCCGTCCGACCCCTCTTGCGCAGGTCCGAAACAGCACTCATCACGTGGTGGCATTATATTCCCTCACATACGTCCTACCCCCTCACGCACACCCCCTCCTCAACCCCCCAACACCCAAAACCCACACCCCACATCTAACACCCCCCAGTCGGCATCCTCGGCACCATCCCCACCCTAACCCTCGCCTACCTAACCGCCCCCTTCGTCCATCAAGTCTTCCTGCAAATCCCCACCACCGCCAACTACGCCCGCCGCTCCCGGCCCGAACTCCTCCGTTTCGCCCGGTCCCTCCGCCAAAACACCGCCGCCACCGCAAACACAAAGCTCGAATTCGTTACTTTGCGAATCTTCCCCTTCCGCAAACACACCACCGCTTTCCTGCACGAGCTCCGCGCTTTGCCACCTAAGAAATTGCGTCTGGCAAATATTGAGCTGCCGAAGAGTGAAGCGTGGGTTAAGAGGCAAAGGGAAAAGGGCATTTTCAAGCGTATGCTGGAAGTCATGAGTGAACCACGGTTCAAGTTCTACGTTAAAGAAGGGCGGTTGTACACGATGAAGACGGGTGTGCCGGGCGTGTGGGAAGAGGTTGCTATGAGAATCAAGGAGCAGACTGTTGAGGAAGCGGAGAGGGAGAAAATAGAGCGGGAGAATGGGAAGCGGGGAGTTGGGGCGAGGAGGGAGGTACCGAAGAAACCGGTGGTTACGACTGTTGCGAGGCGTGGTGGGGGTGAGGCCAAGGTCGCGAGGCAAACTACGAGGAGGAGAGATTTCATGTCAGAGTGAATATTAACCTTGAGGCTTGCGATCTAATATATCAAGATAGAACGATTTGCTAAGCGAAAGAGTATATACAAGTCGTCCGTTCCCGATAGCCCTCCACCCAACTAGTCTACTCATTGAAACAGGTCTACTGAAGCATGAATTATGCCTGCTCCAAAACCTGGGGCTTCTCCTTCTCCATGCTGCCCTTGTGGAAGTCGGCGACACCGTCGTCATGCACGAGGCCAGAGCGCGCAAGGAGGTCAGTAAGTCCGACTTCGCGGTGGACCTCGGCCCAGCGCTCTTTCTCGCGCTCTGCGGTACCGGCGGAGCCAAAGAGGGTGTCCATTTCTTCCTGGGAGGGTTGTTAGCAAACAGGACGCATGCAGATGCTCGAGTGAAGAAACTTACGAGAGAAACGCCCTTGGTCTCAGGGAAGAAGAAGAAGATAAACGCAGCACCCATCGCAGTGAAGATACCGAAGAAGATGTAGGTGCCATAACGAAGATGCGTAAGCATGTCCGGGGTGACTTGACCGACAATGAAGTTATTCATCCAGTTGGACGAAGCACCGAGGGCGATACCATACGGACGGTTGGACATGGGCCAGATCTCTGCAATGACGATCCAGGCACATGGACCCCATGAGTAGCCGAAGAAGATGACAAAGAGCCACACGAAGACACAGGCAGCCCAACCAGCACCCTGGTGGCTGGCCCAGCTGTCCTCGTAGCTGGCAGAGATGCCGGCGATGATGAAGTGGCAGGCTGCCATGCCGATGGCTCCGCTGACGAGTACGGGCTTACGACCCAGTTTGTCGACGTACATGACCGCAGGGACTGTGGATTCGTTAGCGCGAGGACGTCAAGTGGTACTTTACGGTGAGAACTTACTTGTGGCGAGGAACATGACAATACCAACAACACCTGTGGCGAGGAGATTGATCGAGTTGCCCGATAGACCAAGGTCTTGGAAGATGCTGGGAGCATAGTACAGAATGGCGTTGATACCCGTCTAAACATTGGTTTACCAGTCAGTACATGTTTCATGTGCAGTTCGTGTAGAAACACTTACCCATTGTTGGAAGAACATGGTGAGCGTGGAAATCAAGACACGCTTGAACATGCCCCTAGTGGTGAAGAGACTGCCAATAGCGACGAATTGCAGCTTGAAGACCGATAGCGCGCTCATGTCCTGGAGATGGGGAAATCGCTCGGCCAGAGACTTCTTCTCGAAAAGACTTTGTGCGCGGATCTCTGCGTACTCAAGCTCGATGAGCTCGTGCTCCTGGGGGAGACTACGAAGGTTGGCAAGTACACGGCGCGCCTCTGCCTCACGACCATGATGGACAAGCCAACGGGGAGAGAAAGGCATGAAGATCATACCAGCACCGAGAAGCACCGCGGGAGCCAGTTGCAGGGCGAGAGGGAGAAGCCAAGCAGCCTCCTTCTGTCCGTCTCTCCCGGTGCCACCGATGTAGTTGGTGCCGTAGTCGATCCAGAAACTGATCATGATACCCAGGGTAATGCTCAATTGCTGAAGACCCACAAGCGCACCTCGTACCTCGGGCGGTGCGATCTCGGCGTTGTACATGGGGACA